ATTTAACGATCTTGGACGTACGGTGACCCCTATTTTTCTTTTGATAGATCATTTTCTCTACCGATTTTCTACGTTCAGCGAAAAAATGAAGGAAATCTATCGACTAGAAGTTTGATTTTTTTTGCAAAATGCAGCATAATTTACAAGTTAATCCACACCAATAAAAAGTTAAGTTTCTACTCTATATTTAGAACGGATGTAAGCAAATCTGATTATTTAGAACAAGCAAAGAACCTAAAGCATAGACAAGCTGTAGCTAAACTACGATCAGGCAACCACAGACTTAGAATCGAAACTGGACGACACTATATCCCTAAATTACCTGAATCTCTTAGGATTTGTAAATACTGCCGCTCTAACCAAATTGAGGACGAAAACCATTTCTTATTTCATTGTGATCGTTATAAAACTAATGGCGGCGGTTTTGACGATTTTCCGAAGATTTCCGGTCACTTTCCGAAGATTTCCGAAGATTTTGCAAAATTGTTCCGAATTCCAGACGAACGCTTCCGAACATTTTCCAAACATTTCCGAAAATTTCCGAAGATTACCGAAGATTGACGAAGACGACCGAAGAAGATCCGAAGATGTTTCGATCATACATCAACAAATTTAAGCTAGATAAAGGGACAAAAGAAAAATGTTATCAAAAAGGAATGACATCTTCACAGTGTGAAAGATAAAAATAGTATCTTCACTGCGCGCGATGAAGATATGATTTTATAGTGAAAGGAAAAATCGTGGTATTTCACTGGTGTTTATATAATAAATAGGAATACCAATATGTTGTTGTTGTTAAATTGTTGCATTGAATTCCGTTCTTTTTAGCCCTTCGTTTATCTGTACGACGGTTTCAAATGTCTCTTGAAGGGTTAAGTTTTGTGAAACCTTGGTAACATTTGGAATTATTTGCGCAACAGACCCACTTCTACAAAATATAACTAAGATCGTTTGCCTCCGTTGACTCACCTTCGATATTTTTAACTATAAACCCCTGTAAACCGTGCTGAACTACGAGCGCAAATTTTTCCAAATCAGGGTAGTTTCCACACGTTTTGTCTCTGAAACGAAGTCGGTGAACTACAATTTTTTTTGCATTTCTGACACAAGTAACTCATTATCTGACTGCAGTAAAAATTTTAAAAAAATCGACTTGAAAATTTTCGCGCGAACGTCCTTAAGCTTGAATATCACCGGCTCAGGTTGCACGAATAGCGCTCAGGTTAGCGTCGTTGGCCTGTTGCGGTTACTATCGATAATGGAAATGTGATACACTACTTTCAAAAAGTTTCGGACGTTAAAATTGCGGATAATTTTATCTCTATTCGGACAAATTTTGGAGAAACATTTCGGACACTGCTGAAACATAGCTTGCGTAAATTTTCGTCTACAAAACTCGAATAAGACTGGAAATGAAATTTATCTGCAGTGTGTTTTCAGAAAACAAACGAAAACTTTCCCCTAATCCAAGAGAGTACGTACTTTTAAGTTTTATACTGTACTGTAGTCCACTGTAACATTAACAGGAGTCCGTTACCCGTGACCGCAAATATTTCGGACGTTTACAATTTCGGTGGAATGAAAGGTCAGTCATGTCAGCCTACACTTCAGGCCAAAAAAATTTCGGACGGTTTCATTTTCTGCTCTTTTTTTGTCCTCCGAATTGTTTTGCAAGTAAAAAATATCACCCATATTTATTTATTTCACTAAGCTACCTGCGATCAGGCGTTTTTTTTTCGTTGAACGGGGGAAGGGGAATTGGGAAAAAGTTCTTTTTCTTCTCCTTTTCCCGAAGATCGCAGGTTACGCGGTAAGCAGATTAGACCCTGGGTATGAGTCGCTCGCGGGTCCTCCCGCGCGTATGCCGATTCCAAGATGGCGTCGACCTTCGAGGCAACCATGTTTTATATTTTCAGAGATATTTGACGGTAGCTCTTCTTTCCAAGTTTAAATCACGAATCGTCATGCCTAAACGCAAGGTAAGGAGGTGTTTTCAGTTCAGTGGCTAGAGACGCGCCAAAGAAATGGGAATAGCATCTTAACTGAGAACATCTTTTACAACTACACGTAAGACTCAATTTAATCTTAACTTAAGCTTAATTATGAATGATTTTACATACCTACATAAGCTTAAATACAACTTTATTTGATAATGCAGGTTTACAGAATTGGTAAGACCTAGGTCCTTATGTGGACCTGCCTAACTACAACTACTTTGCTAATAGTAATACCGAGCCATCTCTCAACGCTTCTAAGAACGAAGCATATAGAAACAAAAGGAACCATTCAAATTCAGTGAGATACAAATGAGAGGCCTGATATTCTACAATCTAGCCCAAGGCTACGTTCGTCCACCAAAATGTACGAGGAGAACAAAACAGCAACAGTAAGAGAATACACGAGCTAATGTAGATTTAGCCAAGCCTAAAAGTAAAGAGCTTCCCATAAAATACATACGGTATCATTTTAAGACTCAACACAATTATAACCTTTAAAATATTCACTAACAAGCATTTCACCTCACCAAAATTTGGTTTGTTCAATTCATTTAATGAATTGAACAAACAAAACAAGGAAATCTCCATAAACAAAATATGCAAATCACTCTGTGCAAGTGTCAAATAGCAACTGCTGTTCACTTTTAAAGCATAAAATTCTCAATGAAAAATGACAGAATAAAAGAATGTTAAAGAAAATTTGTTGAATATCAATTGTGTAGTTCCAGATAATAGCCATACCTCCTCCATGGAAGGAAGTTTTTCTAAGACGCCCCATCCCTCTAAAAATTTTAATAAAGCTTCATACATTTCTTTAAATTAAATTCTAATCCCTTCTGTGGGGAAGAGGATGGATATTTTCTGGAACTGCTCATCATCATTCAAGGTCAGGCCAAGAAATGCATTTACAAGCCGGAAAATGCATGCAAAATTTCAAAGACATGCTTTGTTCAAGGTAATTATTCATATTAAAGCATGATTTGAGTATTATTTTTGCCAACAGCTTTGCAGTCATAGCCTTACCAGTCCTGTACCAATAATCTTAAAAGAAATTCACCAATAAGCATTTCACCAAACAGTATGAATTGAACTATCAATATGAGGTATATCGAAAAACAAAGCGTTTAGAAGGGATTAATAAGTGCTCGTGAGAATTCCATTCTGGATGATCTCAAAGCAATATGTGCAAATATGACTGATGACTGTACTCTAGATGTTGCCATGAGCACTGGAGAAGCTAGTATGATGCTATCCTGCTCAGTACTGGGCAAGGAGTAACAAGATGAGGATCAATTAAAACAAAAAATATGTGGATGAATTTAAGGGCATTCCTGACCCATCAGGTCTGATTGATATTACCATTCAGAGGGTCAACTTATTCAAATTAAGGAAGTACAGGCACAATGTGGGAGACCTGTCAGAATATTAACTTACCATAAATCCTCGAATAAGTGCCTCCCACCCTTGAATAAGCATCCCCTTCAAATAAGCGCCCCTCCTATCGGCCAAAATTTAAAATAAGCGCCCCCCTCGAATAAGCCCCCCCTCCCGTCTCCCCATTTTGTGGACGAGTAATGAGACAACAAAGGATGTTTAGTTTTTGTCATGTAGTATTAGATTTTTTCCTTGTTTCAGTTTGTGAACACGTTAAGTTTGAAAAAAATTACAAGTGCTAATGGCGCTGCGATTTAAAGTTTAGGATCAGCTTTTTATGTCGATAAACAGCTTACGTTGTTGTTTATGTGCAGATGATGTATATAAAAAAAATGATCATGTCATGCCACAATTTGAGAAAAATTAAATAAGCGCCCCCNCCTCTCCTAAATTTGAAATAAGTGCCCTGGCTGCTAATTCGAGAATTTATGGTAATTATATCACCCTTAAGTCACCCTCACAGTGGCATCAGACATGTATGATGAACACACTGAAGTCATAGTTCTTTACTGGTTTTAGTATTCATCCATCTAGATCTTGCAGTTTTTTTTTAGTTATTCGCATGTGTTTTTTTTTGTTTGCATGGTAAGATGGAATTGGTAGGAAAAATCAATGAGAAAATTGGTTTTGCATCCAGTTGATGTTAATTTTCTTTTGTTCTAATCAGTGTGATAGCAAATACAACACAAAGATAAGTAAAAATCAAATTGACTTTGGAAAGTTTTCTACCAAAATCAAATTTTAACTCAAACATGTGATATGTACATCTGCATGTGGCTTACTGTTATTTTATTTCCTGTTTTCCTTGGTATAATGATTACAGGTGACCCAGGATTTATCAGATGATTCAGATTTTGAAGTTGATGTAGTGGAAATCTCTGACAGCAACAGTGATGTAACAGGAAACCCTTTACCCAGTAAAAGATCATCAAGTTATTCTTGGAGAAACAAGAAAGTGCCTAAAGGTCAGTGTATAAAAAGTAAGTGGAGATGTGTTCTTGTTCTTGTTAAACTGTATTACTTTAGAATCCATTGGCATTATTATTTTAATCAGAGATTCTTTAATTGAACATTGTTTCAGAAAATTGTGTTCCTAAATTTTTGGTGTAAAAAGTGTATGAATCCTTGGTGGGATGCCATTGTCCATCACAGTGCTTGGAGTTGCTGCATTTTGTTAGGTTTGCTTTTGGGCTGAGAGGGCACTGTGAGAATAATGTTATTTGTTCAAGAGCACAACACAATGACCCCAGCCAGCACTTGAACCTGAGGGCCTGTAGAGTGGCCCTGCATGGAATGCAAAGAATATCAGTTTTTCAGCTTCCCAGTGGTCAAACTGTAAACAAAAGTTGACATACTAACCAGATAGTTGTTTTCAATAGCCTGAAAAACACTGACATTTGTTTCTGCATTGCCAGCAAAAAGAAGATCCACTCGACTCAATACAAGAAGTGGTTCAGAAGACAACCAACAAGATTGTGTCATTTGTCATGGCTTTGAGGATGATCAGGAGTTCTTACAATGTTCAAATTGTAAAACAATTGGTAAGAATCGTCAAAGTAAAAATGTGTATCCAGCAGCTAGAAATTCTTCAAATGTTCTATTCAGTGCTCCCTGACACTCCTAGATATCTGAAGAATATCTCTTAGGCTGTATGTAAAACATTCCAGCAGAATTAAATGTACATGTACACGACTTGTACAAGAATTACTTTGTAATATTTTGTTTTCAAGTATCGTTTCCAGTAAAGGCTTTCAAGTTTCACTCTAAGCTCAATTTCTTGCTGTATTTTTAGTGCATTGGAAGAAAATGCCGACATACAAAACAGCTGGAAATTGATCTCAGGTTCATACAGGGTTCTTAAAAAGTCCATGATACAAAAGAGAGCTACAGTGTAGACCTTGAATATTGAAATACATTTTTGTCAAACCAGCAGCCAAGAATAATCAGAAATGAATATTTTAAAGTTGCAATGTGGTTTTTTGTGACATGTATTTCTTGCTCATATTAAATGTACATGATTGCACAAGATTTTTGAGGCCTGTTTTTAACGCAATGCAGGTGATGTTTGTTGCCCAACTCAGTGCAATTTCTGTTACCTTGAAATTGCAAATTCAAAATTCTGCGTGTAAACCAGCTGCGATTTCAGTACAATTGTAATGTGATTTATAAATCACTGTGAAATGGCAGGAGCTTTCAACATGCTCAAAACCTGATGCAATTTTTGCAGTGATTTCTTGTTAAAAAAGTGACAACCATGTACCTGGAAGGACCCCATCAGGAGGTTTTTGTGATGCAAAAGATGAATGAGGATATAAAACAAACTAGAAACTGCTGTGGACATACATAAGGAACTTCTAATTGAGAAATGGCCGAGATGCCGTTGCTTGTTCCAGAGCGACTCCATTGATTAAAGGGGGAGAGACAAAGAGCTGCAGGTATGGAGGAAATTCAGAGAAGACCATTTTGAGGAGACTTGCACCTGGTATATTGTCAGTGAACTCTGACGACAGCAGTGGCAATGTACAAACAAGCAGCAGCAAAGTCTTCCTCTAGAACCATATAGTACATTACCAAGCAGTTCACAAAAGCAAAAAAAGAGTAAAATCTGAGAGACAACAAACTTTTCATGATGCCATTATAACCAAAGCATGTGTGCCTGCTCTGTGGCAAACCTGCTCATCAAAGTTACCATGTTTTGTAAGTAAGTTGAAATTATCCAATTACGGCAAGAAATTGCAGCTGGTGACTATTTACACACGCAATATTGAATTTGCAATTATGAAGAAACAAAATTTCATTGAGTGACCTTTTTAGAGTTAAATTTCATTGTGATGACTGCCGATCGCAGTGCAGTTGTCACGCTATCTAGTACAGTGTAAATAACAAATGTGGAAAAGTTTTTTTATCTTGTGTCTGTTCAATTTTCAATTGTTAATTTGGTTTAAACTAGGACACAGATCATGTTTGAACCTATCCAGCACTACCTGTCCCAGGTTGGAAAGTTCTTTGTGGCAATGTAAAGAGTGTAAATTGTGTTATATATGCAAGGTAGCTGAAAGTGAGGTAAGCTCTAATTCTATGTCTTTCTTGTCTTTTGCATCAAACAAGCTATCAGCTGAATCAATCAACTGTCAGTTAAAATTCTGTTACATGTAGTTTGAGAAATTGATGCTTGGTAAAGACTTGATGAATAGATCCTGCATAAACCTGTGGTCAAACTATGAGAAATTGGTTTAATTAAAGTATAATTGATTAAGTTAACTTGGTACTAAATATGCTTACACAAACTACATGTTACCACTCAGCAAAGGCAAGGGTTTCACTAAGGTTCTGGACAAGAAGGCAATATTATTGGTTTTCAAAGGCAGGCAAATATTTTTGAACTGACCTCCTTTATTAGAAAACTTCTGTGACGATTTGTCACACTAGGCTGAGGAACAATGGTCTCACAGTCAGTCAATTTACCAGGTGTGTGGTCCTAAATGGAAGGAGAACACTATATAACAACTGGTGAGGGTCTATAGCAACTTCATGTAACAGCACAAAGTGTAGTATCCAACCATACACCACAATACAGCCTGATAAAACACTATACACCCCTCTACATGAAACTCCTGTAAAGGTTTGGGCAATTTTCAACCAAATTCAGTTCAATTATTAAATATTAATAAAAGCTGAGATATTAATGTACTTTGAACAAAGATAGAAATGACAAATTGAAAATAGAAATCTCAAGTAACATTGTAATAAAAAATGAAGTAGCTATTGAAGGGTAGCAAAAAAGTGTAGGAGCCATCACAAATCAGAAAGTTGGCATATTTTATTACTTGGCTTGGTGCTGTGTTGTGCTACATGTTGAAGTTATTTCTCTATTCTACATGTCTTGTATTATATAGGTCATGTATCTGATGTCACCAAATTTTAGCTTCACTTAGTCAGCTTTGACATAAGGTAGTTTTACCTGAGCTTGTAGTAATTATTGCCTTGATCATGTGTGTGTAGGTGGAACTTGAAATGTGTGACAGCTGTGACAGAGGATTCCACTCCCCATGTGTTTCTCAACAAGTGTCAGTGCAACGCATCAGTATGTGTCCTGACTGTGCATCAGTAAACCCTAACACCATGCAATTAGCTAACACTATTGAAACTTGTGCAGTTAAGAAAAAGCGAGGGAGACCAAGGAGAGTCCAAACACCATCGGAAATATCTCAAACTGACTATGAATCAGAAAGTTCACCTGGCACTGTTTACACACCCAACACTGATCCTAAAGAAAGACAAATTGTTAAAAGAAGGAAGAAATGTCCCACGCCTGGATGTGATGGGAGAGGGCACATGACAGGCAGATTTGAAATGCATCATACTATATCTGGCTGTCCAAAGTATCACAATATGACACCACAAGAGTGCAAGGTTAGGATGCAATTAAAATTACCTACTATATTGATGTAAATTATATTCCTTCTCCCTGGCTGTGAAATGTTTATTTTGAAAGAAGTTGAGACCATTCATTTCTTTCCACCAAAATAAAAACATGTATCTGCTTAGAGAGACATGTAGAAAGAGCATGCAGCAATACTTAGTGCAGTTATTATGATTAAAATGTACCCCTGATTGTTATCAATAGCCATTTACCATACAATACAGATGTATATTTTATGTGAAATATTTATTTCCTGTTCTGTCAGCTAAAGATAATTGTGGATATTTTGTCACCTGTTGGGCACAATAGCGTAGCCTTGGGTTATTATTTTTGTCATCTGTCAAATGTGGCAGCTTAGCATCAAAGTTGTTTTTGTTTTGACCACATTTTTGTGTATGAAATAAGGAAAGTAACTGAGGATGTTGATGTGGAAAATACGAAAAAAAAGTTTGAAACTAACCAGGGCAGTTTAAAAAAATATATGTGTATGTGTAGACTAAAATGATCAGAAAAAGTTAAAGGAAGACAAATGTTTTAGCTGCGAATGAAGTCTCCAGTGGTGAGACTAAATTGGTTCACTCAGAACTGAATGTAAGTTATGTTCAAAAGGTTTTTTGTAACAATTTATAATAGAGCAATTGTTTAAGTCTGTTTTGTTTGTTTTTTTGATATCTGGGAATAAGCAAGGTAAGCACTATGTGCCTCAGCCCCATTGTCCACCAACTGTCTGTCCAGAAATGTACGTAGCAATTAAATTTGCAGATTTGAGAAAATTTTGTCAAACTGAGTGAATGTTCATTAATTTGATAATTTTGGCAAATTTAAGTCAAATTTCTCTGTCAACTCAATACATGGCCGGCAACTGTGAAATTGTCAAATTTGTGCAATTCTACATGGTGTACCCCGAGCTGTGCTGTCATATTTTTTATGTACATTGTGCAACATTTTTGTACAAGGGTAATAAGCTCATGATTTATGAGAATGCTTAAACTATTATTGTGCGGCCAACAGGAGAAGGCAAAAGAAAGAGAGAAGGACCTGACAGTTTCTTCTGAGCAAACAAGTGTGAAATCAAGCAGATCACCCAACAAGATGGAGCAGCCCAAGAAGACATTAAGAAGCAAAGTCAGTTGATAAGTATCCTTCAAGTGTGAACTTAAGATATGAGTGCAGATAAACACATTTCTTAGTTTAGGCTATACATCAACTGAAGGATGTGCTAAAATAGAGGAGCATGTGAATAAAAACAGCTTAAAATGTGAGCCTCAGTAACAATAATGCTAATATTGGAGGCGATGTTTATCCTCTTCTGTACAAATAAAGCTATATTGGAACGTCACAAAACTACCCATTGTACAAAAGTTACGACATACAACAACCCTCAACCCTAAAAATGTTTAATGATAATGTGAAAAGAAATATAAGGAGTAACGTAGTTCAATGTTTCAATGTATCCAACATCATTAGCAAGAATAAAAAGTGTTCAATGTCAAAGTTGTTAAAAGAGTTGAGTTATGAATATTATTAGGTGGCATTTCTGTGTGCGTGATAATTATGCTAATGGCTAACTTCACATGAATCGAGTTCCACTGCACGTTCAATGATGGTTTGAGATCTTGTATATTTTCAATTGATATTTATTCTTGATAATGATGTTGGATATGTACATCAAAATGTCAAATTACGTTCCTTACATTTCTTGTTAAATGCTTCAACAAGCAACTGACCATTTGATGATGTGAAAGCTGCTTGTAATTAATGTAATCCCTCCAAAAATATTTAAGTACAGTTGATATACCTAAACGACTCCATCACATTTCCCAAAAGTTCCTATTGAGCGCTCTTGGAAGTGGGCATGTCTAAAACATAAAATGGTGAAATGACGAAATGGCACTAAATAATGTGTGATACAGTCAACTCATACAATCATTGAGAGCTAACCACCTTCAAATCAGTGATATTTTAGGCTAACCTGAGCACTATTTAGGCTAACTGGAGTGCTATTTAAGCTAACTGTTGTGACATTTGGTCATTTCCTCATTTTGTGTTTTAAACATGCCATTCGACATCAAGACTGATTCCTTCTGACTATTTAGCTGTAATAAATATAGCTTTTTTGTGGTTGCAGGTTCAGCTGTCCTTTATGCCAGAAAAGATCCGTGCAGCTGTAACAAGCAAGGAAATTACTCCAGAGGAACACAGTCTGCAGAAAGGCAATGACAGAAAGATGAGCAAGTTATCTAGTGAAAATCTTCACAACGTGCCAGGTCATCCCTGTGAATC